CCTCCCTCCCTCCCTTCCTCCCTCCCTTTCTTCCTTCCTTCCTTCCTTCCTTCCTTCCTTCCTTCCTTCTTTCCTTCCTTCCTTTCTTTGTTGTGGGGCTTGAACTCTGGGTCTGGGCGCTGTTCCTGCGCTCTTCAGCTCAAGGCGAGCACATTACCCCTTGAGCCACAGCACCACTTCCAGTTTTCTAGTGCTTTATTGGAGATAAGAGTCTCACGGACTTTCCTGCCTGGGCTAGCTTTGAACCACGATCCTCAGATCTCAGCCTCCTGAATAGCTAGGATTACAGGCCACCAGCGCCTGGCATCATGCTCACTTTCTATTTGGGGATTTTTACAATCTCCATGCACCCACACCCAGGAGCCGTGCTCCCCTTGATGGAGCAGCGTTGAAAGGGAGGTGGCTGGATGAAGAAAACCTAGGATCCTGTTGCCTATAGTTGTTCAAAATGAAGTGCTCTGTCTACCTTAGTGGCACCGTGCTGGAAGGGGCAGTTGGCATGGGTGCAGGCATTGTCCCTGAGCTGCTCAGGTGATGGAGAAGAGGAGGCTGGGCAGCTGGTCAGCCTACACATGACAAACCCTGCCCCTTGTCTGTGGTACTCGAAGGGCTCATGCCACAGTACATCTTCAAGGTGTCTCCTCTCCTCCTCGAATGTTTCAGGTAGAATCAAAGCAGGTTCTTATTCTAATAATATAGTTTGCTTTGAAAAATCACTGTCTCTTACTCATAAGTATCATAAGAATGAACAACATACATGTGTTACACACTTCTGTCTATGTCGAAGATCCTAACATTTCCTAGAGAAGTTTAGTGTGATAGAGCTCTTATTTCTTTGGTAAGAATTTGGACCATGGGAATATTATTTAATCTGAACCTCCATTTTGGCACCCTGGTCATTTTAGAAAACTGTTTAGCTTTATCTTTGAGTTTCTGGTTTTCCCAGTTTGCTTTGTTTTTCTTTGTGAGAATTCATGGTTAAAGAAAAACCCATATATCATGTTTAAGTGTTTGCAAGATTTCTTTGTTGCTGAAGTTCTGTTAAGATATCATATGCCTCATAAATATTACTGTGGTTTCTTTCACCAGAAGAAACTTTTCATCTTAGAGCTCTGTTTATAAAGTACTCCAACCATTCTATACTTTAAAAAAAAATTGACATTTTCTTCTAGCATGTGAGAATTCAGTGGGGCAGGATTGAAATGCATGAATTTCTTCCTGTTCAATGCAGCGATTCACTCCATAAACAAAAGATATAACCTTATCAACAACTGAGGTGTCACTGAGAGTTGCTTTGGGGATGCTAGATATGAATAATCACACATAGAAAAGCTGTTTTTCCTTAACAAGGATTCCTATACCTTTGGGTTTGTTGTGGAAGCATTGACATTTAATTGGGCTTTGTTTTTATGTTTACTTGGAGCAAGGATTTATTGTTTACTTCTGGTTTTATCTACAATGGCCTGTGGCCTGGTTCCTAACCTTGCAGGCACAGGGTCTCTCCTGTGGAGGAGGCTCTACACACAGGAGAGGTTTACCAGCCTGTGGAGCCTCAAGGTTGTTGTGCTGGACCAAAGGTGCCCTTACACAGCAGGCTGTCTGTCATACCTGAGAGACTCCAGGGGCTGTTGCTCTGGAGGTGAGAAGGAAACAGCACTTGCCAGAAAAGTAAATAAGTGTTATTCCTTTTTATGTTTTTTCAGTAGCAGATCTTGAACTCGGCCTAGGCACTGTCCCTGAGCTATTTTTCTCAAGGCTAGCGCTCTACCACTTTTAGCCACAACACCACTTCCAGTTTTTGAGTGGTTAAGAGGACTTCTCTGCCTGTGCTGGCTTCAAACTGTGATCCACAAAGCTCAGCCTCCTCAGTAGCTAGGATTACAGACATGAGCCACTGGCTCCTGGCACCAGTGTTATTTGTAATAATGGATTGAGTGTGATTTTTGAAGGACATGTCTAATAAAGACTTAGAATATTGATCTGACATAATGACAGAGCAGTACGTAGAGTCTGTAATAACAGAAGTTCTGCTGGCAAAGTCTGTAGTCAATGACATTGATTTAGACCGGCACACTTTCATTAGTATTTTCACATAGGATATGATAAAAATGAAATTAATGTTAACACCAATAATCAGTATTTTACTAACAATTTTGTATCCTAAAATTTTCCATAGAGAACCTAATTTTCTAGAGCAAAGAGTCATGTGAATGAAGAGAAGTTTGTTATATCATAACTTATAGATACTGTAGAATAAAAGTGATTCACAAAGTTAAAAGGAAAGGGTTATAAGTTAGGCACTCAAGAAATATTTGGAAAAGGTTGACTATGTGGATGTTTCTGTCCCAGCTTTTTAAAAATATGGGTTAGTCTTTTAAAAAACCTAATTCCTATGAGATAGATTGTGTTTCCAATAGTATTAGTAACAAAACCTTACTGGGCGAGCTGTATGCTGAGAGTCATGTGCCTTTTACACACACAGTGGAGGTCATCGCCTTTTACATGAAATGGAGGTGATAGCTTTGAGCTCCCAAGCCCTGCTACTCTTCTGCACACTACTTATGCAATTTTAGGCAAACAAGATTCCAAGAAACGGACCTGCTCCCCAGGACAATTGTGATAGCACAGGCTTGCAGACAAATGATGCAGAGATTTGTGAACATTATTGATGACCTTAAGAAATGACTAAATTAACTTGCAGTTGCAATCAAGGTCTTTGCTCGTCGTGAATTAGGGAGAACATTAGCCAACAATGAAAATGACATTGCCTCTTCACATAGTGGGGAAATTGTAGATGATAAAAAATACTCAGTACTTGGCCTATGCGCAAGATCACAAATGACTTGTTGCATATTCTGGTATGTTCAGTTACCCTAAAGAAATGAAAAATTTGGGTTATGACAGGTGGCAATGATAAAGTCATATGTTGGTGTAAGAGATTCTAAGTAATAGTTCTGGAGCTTGGTATAAATGGTCACTGATAATGTTATTTTTTTCATTAAATCCATGTTAAGAAATTTTCTTCCTACTTTTTAGGAACTTTTTGTCTGTTTTGTTTAGTTTTTAATGGAAAGCATTCAGATAATTAAAAATACCATACACCTGTATAATTTCTGCTTGTTTTGTTTGTATTGTTTAAATATAGTTTAAATGTTCCTTAATGCATCATCAAGTCTTTTCACTGAAAAACCACAACTGGTAACTCCTAAAATTTAGTGGAATAAATTCCCCTCTTGCCCATA